TGGATAGGTAGGATCAATGTAGTAAAAATGGCAATCCTGCCAAAAGCAATCTACAGATTCAATGCAATCCCCATTAAAATCCCAGCACAGTTCTTCACAGACCTTGAAAGAACAATAATCAATTTTGTATGGAAAAACAAAAGACCCAGGATAGCCAAAACAACACTGTTCAACAAGGCAACGTCCGGAGGCATCACCATCCCCGACCTCAAGCTCTATTATAGAGCTATAGTCCTGAAAACAGCTTGGTATTGGCACAAAAATAGACAGGTAGACCAATGGAATCGAATTGAAAACCCGGGTATTAACCCACACACGTACGAACATCTGATCTTTGACAAAGAAGCTAAAAATATACAATGGAATAAAGAAAGCATCTTCAACAAATGGTGCTGGCATAATTGGAGACTGGCATGTAGAAGAATGCAGATCGATCCATGTCTATCACCATGCACAAAACTTAAGTCCAAATGGATCAAAGACCTCAACATAAATCCAGCCACACTGAACCTCTTAGAAGAGAAAGTAGGTAGTAACCTTGAACGAATTGGTACAGGAGACAGCTTCCTGAACATAACACCAGTAGCACAGGCAGTAAGATCAACAATTAATAAATGGGACCTACTGAAACTGAGAAGCTTCTGTAAGGCAAAGGACACAGTCAGCAAGACAAAAAGGCAGCCCACAGAATGGGAAAAAATATTCACTAATCCCACATCTGACAGAGGGTTGATCTCCAAAATTTACAAAGAACTCAAGAAGCAAGTCTCCAAAACACCAAAGGACCTTATTAAAAAGTGGGCTGCAGAACTAAATGGAGAGTTTTCAATAGAGGAGTCTAAAATGGCTGAGAGGCACTTGAGAAAGTGCTCAACATCCTTAGCCATCCGGGAAATGCAAATCAAAACAACTCTCAGATACCATCTCACCCCTGTCAGAATGGCTAAAATCAAAAACACCAATGACAATTTATGCTGGAGAGGATGTGGTGAAAGGGGGATACTCCTCCATTGCTGGTGGGAGTGCCAACTGGTTTAGCCACTTTGGAAATCAGTGTGGAGATTCCTCAGAAAAATGGGAATAAACCTACCACAAGACCCAGCAACTCCACTCTTAGGCATATATTCAAAAGATGCCCATTCATACAACAAAGATGTCTGTTCCACTATGTTCATAGCAGCTTTATTTGTAATTGCCAGAACGTGGAAGCAACCTAGATGTCCCTCACCTGAAGAGTGGATAGAGAAAATGTGGTACATCTACACAATGGAGTACTATTCAGCAGAAAAAAGTAATGGAATCATGAGATTCGCAGGCAAATGGATGACACTAGAAGAAGCCATCCTAAGTGAGGTAACCCAGTCACAAAAAGAGAAACATGGCATGTACTCTCTCATATATGGATTTTAGACATAGATCTGGGGAGTGCCAGCCTACAATCCTATGGCCAGAGAGTCTGGGAAACAGAAACTTTATTTAGTGGCTGATCGAAGAAGAGGCAGACTCCCTTGGTTAAGTACTGAGCCGAACTCAAGAAAGCCAGTAACAGAGAGGGAGGACTGATGATCAAAGGGATTAAGACTGGGCTGGTTTAACCCCCAGAAACAGCTGACCAGACAAAGGTTAACTCTTGAATCCCAGGCATTAGCCTGGGAAGCCAGCATGGGACTGATCAAGACCCCCTGAATCTGGGTGTCAGTGAAGAGGCCTAGGGAATCTATTGAGCCTTGGGCAGCAGATCAGTACCCATCCCAAGTATACACACGGACTTTGGACTCCAATAGAACAATGTGAGGTGCACTCTCACCCTGAACTCTTGGGAAAGGGTCTAGGCCCTGCCCTATATGAAATGACACACTATGGACACCCCCATGGAGGGCCTCACCCTCCCTGGAGAAATGAGGGGATAACGGGGGGGGGGGGCACGGGAGGAAGGGAGGGAATGGGAGAGGGACCTGGAACTGACTTGTGAAGCAACCTTGATTCTTATCTAAATTTAAACTGGAAAATAAAAAAAAACTGTAAAAAAAAAAACTATGAACTGAAGGAAAGTTATGTGTTGTGGAAGTATTCCAAAGCTCCAGAAAAGGTGTAGCTCTCTGGAAGGCCCAGGGAGACTCCTTGGGAGATTTTTGAGAACATATATGCCAACTGTTTAGAATACCTAAGATATGGATATCTTACTTAATTCTTATCTATACTAACTGGATAGATTTTCTCCTCAGCTTCACATTAAAGATGAGAAGACAGAGACTCAATCACTTTGTCTATGTAGTTACTACATGGGATGCATCACATAATTCCATTAATAGCTGTTTCCAAGTTCAGTGTGTCAGCTATGCTGAACACTCTCTGACAAGGCCTTTTCTGACTAGGAGAACTCTTACATCGATTGGTCTCTGTGGAGGTGGGATTATGCTGGGGACAGCCTGTTCTTCTGTACACAAAACACTAAACACAGGTCTACCTGACCAATATAGTCACTTGGGAAAGCTAACACATGTCTGTGTTCAAATATGTTCAAACCCTAGCCCAGAATAATTAAATCCAGGTATGCATCATGTCTAAAAGCAATTGAATTGGAAACTTAATTTCAGGTTAGGTATCTGTAAAAAAAAATGGTTTAATCCCCACGCACACACTTTGACTGTTCATTTGTGTCATTCACCCCATGTTCTTCATTCAAGCCCCATTTGTTGCCCTGCATCACTTACCATCTGGTGAGGGAAGCTGGCTAGATTGTGCTGTCCCCAGGGAATGCCTAGATTCTACACCTTCCTTTCAGATGGGTTTTGATACAGTCAAATTCAAAATTTTAAATCCATTTCTGCATTATTAACAGACCACTAGAAAAGTTCACACTTAAAGTTAGGGTCTGGCAATTGTGTAGGCAAGGACTTCTGTTGCATGTCCATCTCAGTGTGTCTTTGTAAGTACATTGTCCTGGAGTTGGAAAGGTTGGCTTGGGAACAATTGTCTTCATCCCTTTATGTGACACAAAGATCAGAAGAGAATAACCCTGTCTGGACAGAAGGAGCAGAAGGACTCTGGACATGCTGCTTTGACTATTGCATACTTCCTGACCTCAGTATCTATGCAACAAATAGCAAAGGCACCTGCAGCCTTCCAGCTGGATTTTGACAATGAACAGTTGCGCAATTACAAAATTTTATTCTATTGTACCTCTTGTATAGTAATTATGAGACTGTTCTTGTAATTTTATGTGTTGGTTATCATCAATGTTGAACTCTACATTGTCATTAGAATAATTAGACAGGCTTTCAGAATAAGGTAAATACTAAGAGAAGTAGCTCCAACATCTGAATGCAGCTGACTTAAGTCTCCGAATGTGTCTGTGCTTGCAAACTGAAACCAGCGTTTTGTGTGAGATCATGCTAATACTTGCTTTATTATGTGTCTACAGTTCTGATCTCAATCAGACCCCAAGTCTTTGACTTTAACCTACTAAAGCACCCCTTATTCTACTGTAACTGCCCTCTACCCTATGTCACATCAGTGTGGTTCCTAACAGGTACATCCCTGTTCCTCACCTCCAGCCCAGGATGCAAAACACTTGGCACAGTCTAGAGATTGATTTGTGCTGCTGGCATCTAGCAAGCAGAAACAGTCACACAGTATACAAGGCAGCCTAAGACTAGGAAGCCAAGACTTGCATCTGCAATGAGCTCTTCCCCTTCTTTCTCCTCTAGGAAAGCCATCCCTGAACATCCTTTTAAGATTCAAATATCTGACTCCTTCAAGGATTCTCTACTGTGCTCAGGGTAACAGGAAGATGAATCCTAAACTGTCATATGTCTTGTTTCTTGCATGGTTCATGGGTTCTGTAGATCCCAATGCTCCAAGACTAAAATGCCTTATCATTCCCTAATAAGCCAAGCCTTCACATATGTCTACAGCATGTGGCAGCATGCTCCCTGAGTCAGGACTGAGACTTCTTCACTTTGGTATGCACATCAAGGATCTCGTTGTAATACAAACTGTCTTATATTTGGTAGAGGGAGCTGTGCATTTCTTGAGGCTCCCAAGTGGCACTGACACTATAACTACACCCTGAGTGATTAGGATCTGGAATGGTGTTTCTCAAGCCTTAGTGGACAGCAGAATGACCAAAAAGAGGTGGCATGAAAATGATATGAAAACAAAATGAGGAAGGACAGATTGCCAGAATCTACCCAGGGGTGCCCAATTCAATACATCTAATATGAAAGTTTGCATCTTAGAAAAGTTTATAAAAGGTTATAAAGCCTCCTGAAATTCTGCCTTACTTCCCACATCTCCTTCCTGCCTAATTTCTGAGTCATCAGCATTCCCTGTGGGGTTCCTAAAGAGCCCTATTAGTGCCTATACTTTGGATCCCACAAATAATGCCAAAATTTGGTACCTCTACCCACATGGTGACACCCTGTGCCTTGAATAGACATGGGGGGAGAAGATATCCCAACGACCCATATAATACTTCATTTATATTCTGAAAATGTTGCCAGTTCTTGGCCGTGATGGAAATAACAGTAATGCCTACAAGTATACTTCATAGGCACTAAGGACTCAGGGCAGTTAGGAATCAACTGTGTTTCCCTATCAGTATCTCCTTAACTATCACAATAGGATACAATTATTTTACTTGAAAGCATTTTAAGCCTATTTTTAAAGCATCTCAGAAGAAAAATGTTTGAGTATGACCAAAGTAGGCAAGGCCTATTTGGGAAGAAGTGTGAGAGTAGTTATGAGGGTGGCAATGAAGGTGGTAACAGATGTCTGCATGAAGGAGAAGATTGGATTCCAATCCCAGGAACCAGCAAAGCCTCTGTACAGGAGACAGGATGAATATAGGATGTGGGGACAAGAGCAAGAATGACATCTGGATGAGCACAGTGGAACCAGGTTTGGGTCTCACCATTCAACAACACAAGGGTCTTTTGGTGGGAACAATTCCTAGAGTTTATCAACTCTCTTTTTGTTGTCCTTTTTTGTCTCCCCAGAAATATCATAGAAGTGGCTCCAATATTTGTTCACTACCATTTTTGGCCAAGATCTGCCAGAAAATTGAATTGTATGTATACTATTTCTACTGTCAAAGCAGTTATGACATCTTTTGCTTTATTCTTTATTCTCTGGGAACTAAACTGATGTTCATATTTAAAAGGCATCCTCCTGAAATTGATCACGTTTCTTGCTCAAAACAAGGCTTGTACAGAAACTAAAAGACAAAACTGCTTTGAACAAAATAATTCTGGAAATGTATCACACGCAAGCTCAGTCCCAGTGAGAGTTTCAGGCAATCATTGCTTAACACTCAGGGGAAGCCTCTTCTTGCCACATAACGTATGGATGAAGTTGGCTGCCTCATTCTTGCACAGTTTCCAGGACTTTAACTGACTTGGGTTGTGAGAAGAAAAGGCAAGTACACAGAGAGACAGAGAGGTTGACATTGGCTAGACACGGGACTCTGATGGAAAAGCCGCAGGACCACTAAAGCTCAGTGTGCTTATTATACAGAATGGGACAGAGGAGGCTGTCTTATTGCAAACAGTTGAAGAAGGAAGAGGGGTTATCACATACAGTTAAAACAAAGAGGCAGGGTTTATGGCATACAGCTGGATCAAGGAGGCAGGTTTAGCTAATCTCTATAGGAGCAGGGTCTGTAGGGTAGTAGTTCTCAGGCAGTAAACATCAAGGTAGGAGAAACGATGGTGGACATATTCTGTACATACTATCAACATCTATATATGGCTAGAGAAAGGCTTTACTATCTCTCTGAGCCTACTCCAGGGAGAAGGCTTTGCTATTTTCCCATGGGTCTGTGTCTGTATGGTCCTTTACATGGCAATGCCCATATCAGCAGCACATATTTACCCAAGACTTCTCTCACAATCAGCACTGGTCATGGCTGTAACTACAGAAAGACACTGCCCAACACCACCCTCCACTCCCAATTCCCACCACTGTCAACACACACTCATGTCAATGCCATTTCCCAGGCTGAAGAATGAAGCTAAACAGTAGATCATCATCCCAGCTAGCACAAAGGTCTCAGTTCAGTCTCCAATGCTGTAAATGACAACAGCAAAACTATTCCAGAGCTTAGCCTCACCTTATGTCTTAGATTAAATTCAACGTCATAGAATTGATATTCTAAAAAGTAAGGCAAATGATGGTTTGAGAAGCAAAATAACCCAGCTTTCTCCTTGTTCTCTGTGTTAGACAACTAACTAACATAGAGTAGACAACTCTACAGAAATACACACACACACACACACACACACACACACACACACACTCAGGCATGCACTCTTCAAAGGCTAACTCTTGAAGGACTTCCTCTGATGAGACCCCATCCCCTTCAATAGTGCCACCACCTAGCAACACAGAAGCATCTAGGGATATTTTATCTCTAAAGCATAACTCCAATCCTTAAAAACAGTAATTTTCCCAGGCCGTTGAGGACCCAACCCCTCCACCCTCCATGTATCCTTTATACTCCTTTTTAGACCTGAATTTTTTTAAATCTTGAGTTGATTTAAAAAACTTGAGTCAACTCAATGTCTTTAGACCTCTTTCCCTTATCTAAAATCAAACTGTAAACTGAATCCTTGCTACCTCAGAATCATCTGAGAACTTTAAAAACCAGATTCCTCAGCCCTAGATCTAGTGAGAGAGTGCTACATTTCCCGAACAATCTCTAGGTAAGTTTTGGGTAATTTGTCCTCAAATCTGACTCCTGGCTATCTGTGTTTAACAATTGCCCGCATGTCAGTAGACACCTAAAATAATACATGCACAAGTAATGCTTTAATCAATGTGAGTTATTCATGTAGACCATAGCAGCATCTGCTCTGTCACCTGTTTTCTCTTGCTTTCTTGTGGGAGCTCCTGTTACTTTATTCCATCCTGCTCCAGCCTGGCTGTTTTAGGAAGAGAAAGACAGACATGAGAATGCTCACAGGTACATGAGACAGACTGCAGGTATGATCTGAGGAGCTATGTAAGTTCCCGATGCTGCTGCTGTTACAAAATAGCACAATGTATGCTCTCTCAGTCCTGAAAACTAGAAATTCAAAACCAAGGCATCAGGGCTATGCTCTTCTGACAGATATTCTTAGCAAAATCATTCCTTACCTATCCCTGGATGCTGTGTTACCCATCAACTTTCACAGCTGCCTCTGTCCAATCCCAACCTTCACTTTTCATTCCATCATTTTCCTCCCGGTGTTTGTTTTACCTCTTATATCCTGCCAGTCATATTTGATGAAGATCCATTCTAAGGACTTAATTATATCTTTAAAGACCTACCTGTATTGAGGCCAGGTTCACAGCTACTGGGAAATGAACATAATTCAAGCCCCCGGTAAAAGTTTTCCTGTGCTCCACCATTCATTATCGCTTGAGCTTCATGGGGACTACAATTGCTGAAGATCTCTAGGCTGCTATTAAGATAGCTGGAAAAAGGAAGGGCAGCTATGATTCTGACCCATATCCAGAGTCACTTAAGAATCGAAGAGTTGCAAACTTTTCCTAGTTTATCTGCTAACAAGAGCCCTGCAGTTAGCTGGCCTGAATCCCAGACACAGTAGCTTCACCCCTTTCTGTGGATGGGGTTAGGTACAGAGAGCCTCAGGTTCTGAGAAGGGACTGTCAGACATGAAAGAAGATGTTTCAAGGCTGAGGTGCAGCCAGCTCCCCAGGTGTCCAATCATCTCATCATGCCTGGCTTGAGCTGATTTGGAACGGCCCCTCTCTTCTTTAATGGTACCATTGAAGTTTCCAAGGATATCCAAGTGACAACTCTTTAATTGAATCACCTTTGAAAATTTGAATTTAGGAGCATCTGAGGCTATAGATTTTTTTGGCCCTACTTAAAAGGAATATCATTCCTTTATGATAAAAGCAAAAACGGCATGTTTTATTCTTTTTAAAAAACTCTGTGTGCTTCAATTATAATTTGTACTATACAATAATGTATTTGGTGATTTATGGCCTACAAAGCACACATAAGTGTAGCCTCATTTGCTCTTTAAACCAACCTGTGGTTCAGTAATCATCATCATAATAAATCAGCTGGTGCTTACTATGTATCGAGGACCATTGTATATGTTGAGGCAGACTCTATTATTGTCCCCTTTCAATGTTACTCTCCAGGGGCCACACATGTGGTGGCCACAGATCAGTCTCTGCTGTCATTGGCCCTCTAGACTCCCAGTCCTCTTCTTTAGATGAACAAATAGATTGTAAATGTCCACCCTACTTGTTTTAGCATTCTATTTATTTGATCTACTTGGGTGCCCTTGATTCAAAAAACCATTGCAAAAATCCCACACAGTCCAATGTTACTAACACAAAATTTCAGGTCCAAGGCACAGCCTCATCCTATCCCATTACTGCAGACTTCTGCTGTCCTATATCTGATTTCTCACAAATGGAAGAGAAAGCAGTGCTGCCAGTTAGAAGCAAGAAAAGTCTGGTAACAAGGCATGGGGGTTTCATTCCTCTCAGAGCAACTGTCTGATTTATGTTAGCCATCACATCTGTGTCCTTGGCTACTCAGTCTCATAAGAAAGAGCAGAAGTCACCTGCTAATGTCCATTAAATACCAAAGCTTATCAGATTGAATGGTTAAAATAAGAGTTTTCCTTAACAGAGAATGCAAAGCGTACAAAGACAATTTGGAGTTGTCTTAGTCACTGTTTTATAGCTGTGATGAGACACCATGACCATGGGAACTCTTATAAAGGAAAGCATTTAATTGGGGCTGGCTTACAGTTCAGAGGTTTGGTTCATTGTCACGTGATGGGGAGAATGGAGGCATGCATGCAGACATGGTGCTGGAGAAGTTGGGAGTTCTACATCTGGACACAAGCAGCAGGAAGAGAGAAAGACACTGGGCCTGTCTTGAGCATTTGAAACCACAAACCCACCCCCAGTGACACACTTCCTCCAACAAGGCCACACCTCCTAATCTCTGTTAAGTACTACCACTCCCTAATGACCAAGCATTCAAATATGAGCCTATGGGGGCCATTCCTATTCAAACAACCACAGGAGTGCTAGGGTTCATGGTCTAGATCCAACATGTAGTCTCCTACTTCCTGGCTACTATGTCATCAATATTCCATGTCACCCACAACTCCAAATCATTTATTTTACCTCCTCAAAAGGCCCAAGTTAAACAGAAACTGTCTTGTTGAAGAGAGTAATGATTGGCCAAGTACAATTGACATTTTCATGAGCTACACAGACTCCAGGTTTTATTTTTAGATCAGCATCTGCCATATAAACAGCCAGTATCTGAACATGTTAATTTTCACAAACATCATTTCTTTCTTAGCTCACCAGGCATTTTTCCTTCCTAGATCTGTAAAGAAGTCTGTGCCATTCAAAGATGTAGATTCCGACAAACACAGTGTTTTTCCAGTGAGTATTGCTATGAATGAAAGGCATCCACTGCATGTTATATTTCATCTACAAGCTTCTCTCCTTTAATAAGACAAGACTGAATTTTATTTGATTAACATACATCAGTTTACAATTTTAAGGGCTTTTTTACTTCATAAAAATGTCAGTCATCAAAGCAAACCATAGATCAAGTTCTGTTTCTGCCTCCCCCTTCCCCACCCAGTTCCCAGCTGCAGTTCTCCATGGCACTATTGTTACCACAGGGTGATGTCAATTATTTTGGAAATTCAGAAATGTTCTTGAGCTTACTTTTTCAAGTGTATGCATGCGTGGGTTTGGTTTAGAGTTATTAAGATACCAGTGAGGTTTCTGGGGGAAACAAACAAGTAGCCTGTCCTGAACTCCCTACAGGATGAGAGACTTCAAGAATAAATATTGTTTGATAGAATTTTGATTGCTGATTATTTTAAGCTCTTCAGCAATGTACAAAATCAAATGATTTGCAGTTGTCAAACATTGTCTTTTAATTATCCAATGAAAAGATTCACCACTGCCCAAATAGATAAATTGTTTTATATACTGAGAAGACTGGTGGTTAATAAAACAATATAGGAAGTTGGACAGTCCTGCTGTTTCTAGGAGTATACATAGACACATATACATATATAGACACACACACATACCTGTCACATGCATACATGTAAGGACACACATATATGTATACACATGTACATACATACATGTACACATACCCTAAAACCCTCACACATAAGCAGTGTCACCTGTGAATACACATTCATTTATGCATACACTCCCATCTATTTCTGGATTTGGTGTCGCATTACATTTTACCTTGTCTTAATTTCCCTACTTATCTTCAATATTAGATATTAAAAATTGCAGAAGCCTATATTCCTTAGATGGCCCTAATTAACTTTCACTGTGAGCAGTGTAAAACCTGGACTAACCCCCTCCTGTGTGTGCTCTTCAATTTCAGACATTACGGGGATACCACTGGCGAGGGAGAGACTGTAATGACAGTGACAAGACAGTGTACCCAGGCAGAAGGTAACTTTTATTGGAATCATGAGTCACAGTGGCTTTCCCCAACCTGGGGAATCCTACTTGCAGAGAGAAGGGTCCTGCAGTTATTCATGGACACAGTTGTTTATCCAAATATACTTACCAAGAACTTGATACCTGCAAAGCCCTTAGGGCACAGTCAGGCACTAAACAAAATAGAGAGTTGCCCCTCAATGGCATGGCATTCTACTGAGAGAAAATAGTTATATGAGAATGACTGACACAACTCCCATGAGCTCTACCGGTAAGGTAAACCTAGGAGTTATGCCCTTAGAGCAAAGTGTGGAGTCCGAATAATATGGCACATATCTTGCTTGAGTTATGACCTGGTGGCCAACAACCATAGCTCAGCCTTCAAAGCACAGCTGTGCCACCCTTTGCTGTCACGGGATTGCAGTGCTGGAACAGCAAGCTGAGCAGGTGCTGCGCAGCTCACAGGCAGTGTTTGCATCATCACCTTGCTGAAGAAAATGAACTGCAGACTGACCTGTTATGTACACCATCCCACAGCTACACAGGCTACAGGAACCCTTAGTCACAGAAAAGACTAGTTTCAAGCCTAGGTTCCCAGAAATGCTCAAAATCAAGAATGTAGAGGCTAAGTGGTAGCTTTTGTATGTCACAACACGTGGGGTGCTCTTCCTTAAAGAACACTGTTGTTTTACTGTGGCATTTCCTGTGACACCGGTTCATGGAACTAGCATTCACTGGCCATTCTGTAAATGCCAAAGACTAATGCTTCTGCTTTCTTTGTAGGCCAGACAACTGGGATGTCCATCAGGACTCCAACTGTAATGGCATTTGGGTAAGCAATGAGTTAAAGTCGGGCCTCATCTCTTACTTTCTACCCTCTCCAGTGTGTATTTTCTTGAGATCCTGGGGAACTATTCCCTAGAAATTTGCCTGAGGGATAAAGATTTCCATCACATAGGAAGATAATCAGTGGTGTTGTTAGAACTGACGCTACCTCAGAAACAGCCCATTTAAGTCATGCTGTGGTTGCCCCTGTTTATTACTTTATTCTTTCTGAACAGTGTCGGGAAAGGGGAATTGATTCTAGCACCCTTAGAGCACCTACACAGCTGTTGGAAAAAGCCACATAGTGATGCCATTTTGTTAAAGCCATTTGTTTTCTTTCATAATCCTTGTCAAGTAGCATGAAAATTACCTTGCATGTACCTCTCACACCCCAAAGTCTCTGGTTGTGCTACCCCAGTTCTCTAGACATAATGGTTTATAGCTTTCAGGGAAAGAAAAGGGAGGAAAGCAGAAAGCCAACCCAATATTTACCTGTGGGCAGCAATGGCTGCAGAGTCATGTGTTACCATCATCTTACATTTACATGATTTGAGGGTCCTTGTGTAGAACAAAGAAACCAACTTGCAAATACAAATTCAAATATGAAAGTAGACAACTACTTAGAAACATGAAGGAAATTCTAACAAATCACCATAGTCTTGGAGCGACAGGTCTTTTTTCTCATAGTCCTGAAGTGCTTGTATAGAAATACTTGCATCCTATCAATGACAGCATGGCCTTTCTGCTCTACCTAGAATAGCGATTCTCAACCTTCCTAGTGTTTCGACCCTTTAATATGGTTCCTCGTGTTGTGGTGGCCCCATCCATAAAATTAATCCATTGCTACTTCATAACTGTAAATTTGCTATTGTTAGGAATCATACTGTAAATATCTGATATGTAGGATGTATGATATGTAAGCCCCAAGAGGGGCTTGAGAACAGCTAGCCTAGAATGTTCTGGAGCTCCCAACCACTCCCAGTACTCCCACAGGCAGCAGCTATGTGAACAAGGAGCCTTGAAGATAAAGATTCCTGGCTTTAAGGAAACTGTTGCTTCATTTTTCTGTTTTGTTGTTATTCTCTCTCCATAATGCAAGTGGCTCAGGCTTGCACCAGCAATCCCCTATGGGGTGCACCAGGACCTGTGGCTTCTGGGATATAAGCAGAATGACAGATAACTGTGTCAACCTCAAACATTCTACCTTCAGTCATGCTACCTCTTTACAGGGGAGAAAATCTGCTCTAGAGCTTTAAGGTGTAGAGGACCTCAAGGTAGCTCCTTTTTGCGACAAATCCAAGCTTAGTTAGCTTATCTCAGGACAAAGGATTAGTATGTAGGGATGCTTTCTTGGTTCCATGGTCCCTACTCTTTGGGGCACGGTATGCCACCTCCATGAAGAAGTGGCCAAGCAAAGAGTAAAAGAAATCTACCATAAGCTCAGGAGGCAAAATCTGAAGCTCATCACCACAAACTAGAGAGACACAGCATCTTCATGTCTTCACTCCTGTCCCTTTCTACGGAGTAAAAATGATTCGATTCACAAAGTCAAAAACAAAGAGCCTGTAGCCACCAAGGCCAGTACTTACTGCACAGTGTTACCTGGCTGCATTGTTGACTGGTGTGAATAGTGTATGTGTGATGAGGGGTAGATCTTGTCACCAGTTAATTACAGGAGGCACAAAGGCAAATAAAGCTGGATGCTTCTGTTTCCTTCTGAACTTCTCAACATAATGTTTCCATGTGCATTTGGAGCCTTCAAGCTCAGGAGCAAGAACTTACCATTTCCATCATATCTATGGTCACCAAGCATTGTTATCTTAAAATACTATTAATATCTCTTCCAAGGGACAGATGCTCCACTGTCTCACTTCATTTTGGAGGTTTGACTGTGATGACTAAGTTCCACTCAGGACCAACAGCCTTTCTTGGTTTTCTTAACGCTGGAGTCATTGACATTTGAGTGAGATATATCATCTTATAAACTGTAGGGTGTTCTGCAGCCTCCTCGGCCTCTGTCCACAAAATTTCAAGAATACCCCATTTCACTGTGACAACCACTGGTGTCTCCATGCTTCGTCAGTATTCCCTGGATTGAGTGTGGGATGAAAGGGTGAAAAAGATGAAAACTGGTATTCTTGGGATGTCTGGACACTTTGATCTCCATCTTAGAGACTGTAGAACACACCCTTGACCTATTTCCCCAAGACTTAGTCAGCCCTTAGTGATGCAAGGAGAGTCATTCCTGTCCTAGCTCCTCTTTTAAATGGTTGCCCCAGATTGCTCTCAATGAGTGGGCCTCATTTTCTTCTTATCTTGCTATTCTATCCTCAATTCCTCTTAAACCCAGATCATTACATGGAGTATAACTATGTTGGATTAGGGGCCCAAAAGGCTTCAAAGGGTTTTATCTATTGATTTGCCTTTGAATGCTAAATTCAGTTGGGAAGGATTTAGTAGTGTATGTGTCTCATAAAATTTAAAATCACACTACTAATCTCTTCATTTCTCTTTTAAAGGGTATTGATCCAAAAGATGGAATTCCATATGAGAAGAAATTCTGTGAAGGTATGAGCTAAAGCCAGTGTCTTACTACAGGAAATGCTTCTTTTCTAGTTGAGTCAAAGTGAAGTGGAAAAAAAATCATCTTTGTGAGGCAGAGTCTGAGGTTAACAGTTACTTTAAAAGACCCATTTAGATGGGCTTTCAGAACTGATCAGAAAAAGACAAGAATAGAAAAAGAGGCAGATCTAGAAGATGCAGAATGTAATTTGTTTAATTGGCCCTTTCACTGGGGAGCTAGAAACATTAATGATAACATTAGGGAAGGCTGCAGGGTAGATCACAGAGTAATCAAAAGCTGGGATTTTTCCAAATAACAACATAGGAAATAAGATTTAATCATTTGCATGCCCTTTTCAACATACAGGAAGGTTAGCCACCCCTATACTGAGAAGACAGCCTCTAATGGTGAATATCTAAGTAACTTATAGAGAAGCCAAGCTCCATCCTGCAGAGGCTTGCAGAATAACTAAGCAAAAGCTTCCTACTCTAAAAGTGTAAATGCCCAGACATCTGGGCCACCACTGCTGAAAACCCACTCCAGGGGTAAACCAAAACTGAGGCATTGTTTTGCTAGTCACATCTTCTCTCCTCCCTTGAAGATGATATTGGTCCTGCACTCATTCAACAGATGTTTCCTGGATAACCAATCTGGTTTTAACCAAGGGCTACCCTTGATCAAAGAATACTTGACAGAGGTCAACCTAAAGTCTAGTTGTTTGTAAGATCTCAAAGGGGCAAAGAGGAGGATAGGAAACTGAAAGGCCCGTTGAAAAGTTATGGAAATAAGAAATATTTGTTGAGTGACAAAACAACCACAACAAAGTAAGTTTGTAACCAAGCCTGGTGGCACAGACCTGTAATCTATATACACAAAGGCTGAGGCAGGAGATTGAATGTTCAGTTCTTATTTTGACTACATGGTGATTTAGGAGCAAGTTAATGAGACCCCATCTCAAAATAAAATGCAAAATATTGTTGGGGATATAGTGTAGTAGTAGAACATTTGCTTACCGTGTTCTGGGTCCTAAATTCAATACTCAGTACCACAAGAAGAAAAAGAAGAGATAAAGTTGTGAATAAATCTGGAGCTTGTGGAGCTATTTTAGTATACATGGGGCTCAATGTTCAGTCTCCAGGACTGTAATAAAACAACAACAACAACAACAACAATAATAATAATAATAATAGTAACAAATACAGATTTAGATGAAACTAAACCTTCTGGGCTAGTGAGCCCAGAAAGGAAGACTCTTGAATCTCCACCTCACACCACATTGTCCTCTTAGATGTCCTAGACCCTCTTAGTTTCCATTCTTGTGACCCAGCAGCAGCTCCCACAGAAGACAAAGCCTGGTAATCACTACAATAAGGCTGGGCCATTCGCTGACTCTCTCCAGTGGTTTGCAGAGGGAATAAAGAAACTTCTCTGACTCTAGAGGGATCATTTGATTTTTCCAGACCCTTAAGTGGCTAGGGGGAATAGCCTCCAGTAAGTGATTTGTATAGATGTGTCTCCGAATCTGATTAAGTGATTCTTAGATCCAGACATGCAGGCTGCACAGAGACCTTCCTATCTCCTTCTCTCTTTTAATCAGCCAGAATTGTCTATCTAGTGCCTTTGTGCATGTGAATTTAAGGACTTTACAAGACCATCACATCTTTAAACTATCAAAATTACTCCATGAGGTCATTCACTCTCAAAGAGAATCAGTGTGTTCTCTAAGAAAGCCATTTCCAGAACCAAAATTTAGGATGTATTTCTGAACTCGGATCAAGTCTGATTCATGTGTTCATCCATCATTCACGCTGGATGTTGCACAGCAGTTGCTTTTATGCTGAGCCAGGAAGCACACCTGTGTTTGTGCAGCTTTGCTAGTGGTTCCAATGGATGAGAAATTTCATTCGGCTCCTAAACGCTCCCCCCACACTCCCCAACACGTGAAAAGTGGCAATGTATCACTGTTAGGATGCACTATGCTTTTGATACACACCAGACTATCTGCTTGAATAGCTACTCACTCTGGAGGCTACGCACTGCTTGAGTAAATAAATAATGTAAATAAATTGTGCTTCCTAGGTTCACAGCCCAGGGGAATCATTTTGCTGGGAGACTCAGCTGGGGCTCATTTTCACATCCCTCCTGAATGGCTGACAGCTTCACAGATGTCTTTGGTAAGTAATTTGGGCAGTACTCCTTCCGGATGTGCTGGCCTTTGCTTTTGTTCCCTGTACCCTCAATGTGAAGCCAACTCCAAATAGGTGCAAATTTTTCTTTGCAAGGGACATCCACTGTCATTTTAGTTCTAAGCAAAGGCAGGCAATGGGTTTCTCCTCTTCCTCATCACAGCTCCTGTTAGAAAAGGCAAAGATAGCAGCTAAGAGTCAGGACAGTGGTTAGTGTGCAGAAAGAACAGCCTCTTCTGGAAGTCACAAGCATGGGAGGAGTCTTCCCAGCATGGATGCTGTCCATAAGCATGATGAGACTGGGCAGAACAGGCTGCTGGGCTCCTGAGAGCCACTCCTGTGTCCATAGGAGGACAGCAGGGCACAGAGAACCACCCCCCTTCCTGAGGAGAGGAATGGGATGATTCTAGAAGGTGTTTTTAAAGTGAAGAAAATAATAAAGACAGCCATCACAAATAATGAGAGACTCACAGACAACAAAGAAAGGAGGAAGACACCAATAATCACTGACCCTGCCAAACACAACATTGTGAGAGGGGTTTTCGCATGTTAAATGGTCAGACTATGAATACAGGTGATCACCTGTTTCTACAGGTTCCACATCCACAGAATCAAGAAACTGTAGATAGAAGCTGTGGACAGGCTGTGCTGACAACGTTTGTAATGGACATGTGTCAGCTTTCGTGGACCTCTGCAGATCTGTGTCTATGAGAGCCACATAGGTCAAGAGCCTTAAAGAATGGAACTTACTACAGTCTAACGCTGTAGACAATTTTTCTTAGTTTCAGTATAGTTCTATTTATTTATTTGTTTGTTTGGTTGGTTGGTTGGTTTTTCAAGATAGGGTTTCTCTGTGTAGCTTTGGAGCCTGTCCTGGCACTTCCTCTGTAGACCAGGCTGGCCTCCAACACATAGAGATCTGCCTGCCTCTGCCTCCAGAGTGCTGGGATTATAGGTGTACACCACCAATGCCTGGCCAGTATAGTTTTATACATGAATAAAAAAAGTAATGATACAAGGAAGGTTGTTTGAGTTCAGAAAAACATGTAAATAAACACCAATAAATATATACTAAATATTAACAGAGTAGCCCTTTCCCAGAACTTGCTCAGAACAGACCAATTTAAATACAATTGCCTGGCAGGCAGCATCTTCTATCTGGGAATACACAAAAAGCAAGGCAGAAGGACATATCCATATTCAGGGTACACTGAGGACAACATGCAGCACATCCTTTCACCAGATTGGGTTCTATAGTTATCTTCCAACATCCAACAAGAATAAACATGTATCATAAATTGAATGTAAATGTTTAATACAGGAGGCATGAAATCACATCCAAGAACAATACAGAGAACAAAATGAAGGTGAGCTAAAAGGCCCTCTGCCTTTTTCCAGGAGCCTCTCTCACAGTTCCCCAAGGCATCATTCACCATGTGTCATTCTTTTGACTGTGTTTCGACAGACATACACAGACTTTTTCTTGTCATCATTCCTTAAACAATAGAGCACATTACCTGGTGACATGGCACTCCTATTGTATTTGGCATTATAAGTAATCCAAGGGTATTTAAAACTAGCTGGAGGACTTGTATAGGTCATATGTAAATGCTGCTCCATTTTATATGACATACTTGTGCATCTATAAATTTTGGTATTCAAGAGGGCTCTGGAACCATCTCTCATAAATTCTAAGAGACTACAGTTTGTGGTGAAAGAAGATGACAACTGTATGGTTTCATGTTATAACCTGAGCACACACCTGCCAGGTTATCAGAAGGGCCATTGTCTTCCCTGGTTGAACAGTGCAAACACCTAGGACTTATGTGACAAAGGATGAGAGGAAGACAGCAGGACAAGGCAGTCGGAATGGCAAACACCGCAACAAAAGGTGCCATGCCATCTGTAGCTTCAGCTTCCTAAGGTGGGAGTTGTCACGAGAGGATGTTCCAATACCTGTACTGGAACAATCTACATCGATGTCAGGGCCCAGTGAAAAATAAAGGTGCAAATGCTTTTAATTAAAATGAAAAATAGAGATGTATGTGGTAGTACATGACTATAATCTAATCACTTGGGGAAAGCATCAGTAATTAAAGACGAGCCTTAGTTACATATGGAGCCCAAGGCAGCCTGGGCTACATGAAACACATTTTTAAGTTTCATTAAAGATGCTATGCTGGCACAAACTAGAATCACTGGGGAAGAGGGAACCTCAGTCTAGAAAATGCCCACACCAGATCTACCTGTAGGAAAATCTGCAGAGCATTTCATGGACAGATGATTTATGTAGGAGGGCCCAGCTCATTGTGGGCAGTACCATCCCTGAGGAGGTGGTCCTGAGTGCAATAAGAAAGCAGGATGAGCAAGCCATGGGAAGCAAAAGAGTAAGCAGCACTCCTCCATGGCCTCTGCATCAGCTCCTGCCTCCAGGTTCCTGCCCTGTTTTAGATCCTGCTTTGACTTCCTAAATGATGGACTATAAGATATAAGGTGAAATAAACCCTTTTCTCCCCAAGTTGATTTTGGTCTTGGCGTTTTATCACAGCAATAGAAACCCTTCTAAGGCAGAAATTGGTACCAGTACATGGGGTCTTGCTTTGACAGAACTGACTACGTACTTTTGGGAGGATTATGACAGAACTTTGGGCTAGAAAAGCAGTTGAGTGTTCAGAGCTTAATGACCTAGTGAAAACTTAAAAGACAAATGCTGAGAACTTGGAAGAGAAAGGTGTTGAGAGAAATGCAGACAATGGAGACATGGATGGTGACATTTCAGAGGAAAGTTTTGAAAGTTCTTATGACTTACAGTGGCTTAAAAGAGAATGACCCCTATAGACTCATGTACTTGCCGACTTGATGAAATATTTGGAAGGATTTAAAAGGTGTGGTCTTGTTGGAGTAGGTGTTTCCTTGGTGGAGGAGTTGTGTTGATGGGGTAGGCTTTGAGATTTCAAAAGCCCATACCACTCCTGTCCCAGTGTCTGCCACCTATGAATCATTGTAGTTCTCAACTACTCCTCCAGCACCATGCCTGCCTGCATGCATGCATGTTGCCATGCTCCTCACCATAATGATCGTGGACTAACCCTCTGGTAAGCCCCCAATTAGATGTTTTCTTTTATAAGAGTTGCCTAGGTCTTGGTCATGGTATCTCTTCACAGCTATAAAACAGTGATTAAATACTCTTATCAGGCCTTTCAATATTTTGAATTAAGTATCTGTGATGTTTGATCATCTAAACAGTTCACTGTAATAAACAGGAGGCCAGCACCACTGAAGTAAAGCTTTTGCCTCACTGGGACAATTGATGCTGTCCAGGTGAAGCTGAGAAATTATGTGCAATTAAGAAGAGAACAGCATTATTGAAGATCATAAATCTAGGAGGATTTCCTCAAGGTCAGCACACGGAAGCTACAGTCCAGAGGGGGTAAAGGCTGTATCCCACACTGACAGCTGCACTTGGTTGTGTAAGAGTTAACAAAGTGGTGCTTGTTTTGAAGACAGAAGAAGCAATGGAGATCAGTTAAGGCTTAGCACTGTGTGGCAGGGCTGGAGTCCATGAAGAGAGACAGGTAGAGGCTATTGTTAGAGATACAGCCTCAGTTGCAGTAGAAGGCCCAGGATTGAAGAGGTCACTGAGAAAAGTTGAGACATATCACCATGTTACAGAATATGAGTCGGGGCGGGGGGGGGGGCATAAAGGCTATTTGTTAAAATACAGACAAGTTGCAGCAGGAAATGCCAATACCATGGGACAACCACCAAGGACAGCAGCAGTCAGTCAATGTGTAAAGGCAGTTTGCCTGAGCATATAAGACAAGCTATGTGTTCTTCAGATGGAAGACTTTAGAAGAACTAACTACTCAGGCCCTTCAGATCCTGGAAGGATCATGAGGGTGTCCAGATGTCAAGCACTGAACTATTTTTATGGTTTCAATTTTTTAAAATTAGAAGCAAGCTTGCTTCTCATGTCAATCCCAGCTCCCTCTCCCTCCCCTCTTCCGTGTCCCCCAACAATCCTCCCAAACCCCCCCACCTTCCATGGGGATCTCCAAAATCTGTCATATCATCCTGGGCAGGGCCTAGGCCCTTCCCCATTTGTCCAGGCTGAGAGAGCATCCTTCCATGTGGAATAGGCTCCCAAAGTCCATTTGTTAGCCAGGGATAAATACTGATCTACTATTCGAGGCCGCATAGATTGCCAAGGGCCTTTGCACTGACAGCCACATTCAGGGGGTCTGAATAAGTCCCATGCTGGTATCTCAGTCACAAGTCTGGGGTCCATGAGCTTACCCCTTTTTCGGGTCAGCTGCCTTTGTGTGTTTCACCAGCCAGGTCTTGACCCCTTTGTTCATCACTCCTCCCTCTTTGCAAATGGGTTCCAGGAGTTCAGTTCAGTGTATAGCTATAGGTGTCTGCCTCTGCTACCATCAACCACTGGATGACGGCTCTAAGAGTGCATATAAGGTAGTCGTCAATCTCATTATCAGGAGAGGGCATTTAAGGAAGTCTAGATGCCAGGTAGTGTCATCCTTGTAGATCTCTGAAAATCTCACTAGTGCCAGATCTCTTCTCAAACCTATAATAGCTCCCTCTATTATGGTAACTCTCATCTTGCTCTCCTCTATTCTTCCCCTGACTCAAACTTCCTGCTCCCCCATGTCCTCTTCTCCCCTCTTCTCCCTTTCTTTCTCTCAGCCCCCTCTCCTCTCCCCTGCCCCCATGATCCCAACCCCCTCAGGAGATCCCCTCTCATTCCCCTTTTCCAGGGTACCATGCATATCTCTCTTAATGGTCTTCCCCATTTTCCAGACTCTCTGGCGGTAGGACTGTAGGCTGGCACTCCCCCGATCCATGTCTAAAATCTATATATGAGTGAGTACATTCCATGTTTGCCTTTTTGTGACTGGGACACCTCACTCAGGATGGTTTCTTCTAGTGCAGTCCATTTGCCTGAGAATTTCAAGATTCCATTTTTTTCCCTG